GGGGTCAGGAGGAAATATTTCTCCAGACCAGTTTGGCCAGGGATCCTGGAGATTTTTTTGTCATCTTCTGAGAACGGAGCCGGGGTCACTGGGTGTTTGTGGGGGGGGGGACATATTTGTGAATTTCCTGCATTCCACAGGGGGGTTGGACTAGATGACCCTGGAGGTCCCTTCCGACTCTATGATTCTATGATTGGTATTTGCCAAGGCAACCTTTTTGCCCCTCAGATGACCCCCCATCCAGAGCGATCTGTGTGAACATTTGCCTTCTCGGCCTCTGCAGCTGTTGGCCTTGTGTATTTCTGCCTCTTCTCCCTCCCGGTTTTCTTTCCCCTCTGGCTCAGTGATATGCAGACGTGCTCTGTACTTGCTTCCGTTTTTTTCTTTTCTTGCCTGTGTGAGTCTTTTTTTTCCCTCATGACCACTTTTGTTGCTGGCATTCCTCCATTGATGAGCAACCAATATTGAAAATTGTGTTCATTTCAGGGGGCGGGATTTGGAATGGGAACAGAAAATGTTGTGGAAATAAAAATCCACAGGTTCAAGACACACAAGGGAAATCAAGGGTGGGGGTTTATTGAGTCAAGTCATGGCACAGTGTTGGAGCCTCTGTACTGCGTGCAGAAGGTCTCAGGTTCGATCCCCGGCATCTCCGGTTAAAAGGATCGGGCTGCAGGCAGTGTGAAAGACCCCCAACCTGAGACCCTAGAGAGCTGCTGCCAGTTTGAGTAGACAATACTGACCTTCGTAGACTAGTGGTGTGACTCTGTATAAGGCAGTTCTGTGTGCTCATACCTCTGGCCTTCTCTTCTTTCCCTCTTTTATCGAGACCATTCTCCCCTCGATTGCTGCCTCGCTGGGCTCCTGAATTTCCTTTCTGTGCTTTGCTGGGATTTTTTGCATACTGTTTACCTCTCTGGGATCAAAGCACATGGAGCTCACTTATCTGAAGCTCAGCACACTAGTCCATGTAACCCAATCTGACCAGTAGTGACTGTCCATGGTCTCAGGTGCAAAAGGGTGTTTCTCGATACTTGCTGGATATGCTGGGGATTGAACCTGGGACCTTCTGCAAGCAAAGCATGTTCTCTTGCCTTTGAGCCACAGACCCATCCTTGAGCAGAGATCCGCTCAGCCAGTGACAACCAGAGGCCCTTAATCTGTGCTAGCCCTTCTGTGATGAGCCAGTCACAACTGTAGACTTTTTCACTACCACAGAATTCCTTAGTGCCCTGTACAGAATACACATTAAAGACTGGTTTGTGTCATTTTCTTGCTGTGGTTAAGATTTACTCTTTGTTTTGTAGGCACCCTAGAGCGTCCTGATCGAGATCTGGTAAGTTAGTGTTGTATGGACTTCTGGGAAAGGACCGTAATTGGATTGTTGGATTCCAAAATAATGAAATATTTCCTGTTCGTTTTATTGTTGGTCCTGTTGGTCAATCTGTTCCTCTGACGGGCCAACAACAGGGCATAGAGGCTGAGGCCTTCCTTGACAAAAATATAAGAAAGAGCCCTGCTGTATCAGACCAGTGGTCCATCTAGTCCAGCCTCCTGTCTCACACAGTGGCCAACCAGTTCTTCTGGATGGCCAACAACAGGTCTTAGAGGCTGAGACCTTCCCTAATAAGAACATAAGAAGAGCCCTGCTGGACCAGACCAGTGGTCCATCGATTCCGGCATCCTGTCTCACACAGTGGCCAACCAGTTCCTCTGGAGGGCCAACAACAGGTCATAGAGGCCGAGGCCTTCCCTTGATGTTGCCTTCTGGCTCTGGGATTCAGAGGTTGACTGCCTCTGAATGTGGCGGTTCCCTTTAGTCACAATTGCTAGTAGCCATTGATAGACCTCTCCTTCATGAATCTGTCTAATCCCCTTTTAAAGCCACCAATTCCTGTGGCCAAACCTATATACTTTGTAGTATGTGAATTGGCCGTCATGAGATTTGGCATATGCAAGGATGGAATGTGTTGGAGCAGAAGGCAGAACCCAGTTGTTTTTAAAAAATAGAGATATGTGCAAATTCCCCATGTATTTACCAATGTACAATTTGTTTGCTGCGTGTTCTTAAAATACATTCATGACCCTTTCTTCAGTGTTGGTCCCTTCAACAGAAAAGGGAAGGTGCCGAGCTTGGGTGATTTTTTAAAAAAGGATAGTGAATATATGCCTGAAACTTTAGATTGGGGGAGAAGGTGCGGTATAGTGGTTAGAGTATCCGGCTCTGACCTGGGAGAGCTGGGTTCACTTCCTCACACTGACAAAAAACTGGGTTCAAATCCACACACTGACAAAAAGCAGTCTTTTGGACTAACCTCTCTCAGAGAGTGGTTGTGGGTATAGAAATGGGGAAGAGAGGAACTAGGTAGGCTGCCCTGAGCTTCTTGGAGAAAGTCTAGGCTAAAAATGTTCTAGATGGAAGTCATGGGAAGCGTTCTGAAGAAGAAACTGAAAACATCATGCCAGTCTGGTGTAGTGATTAAGAGCACGGACTCCAATTTGGGAGAACTGGGTTTAATTCCCCACTCCTCCACATGCAGCTGCTGGTGTGACCTTGGGTCAGTTACATATTCTTTCAGAGCTTTTTCTCTCATGAGCAGTCCTCGAAGGAGCTCTCTCAGCCCCACCTACCTTGTGGGGAGGGGAAGGGAAAGGAGATTGTAAGCCGCTCTGAGACGGCTTCGGGTAGTGAAGGGCAGGGTATAAATCCAATCTCTTCTTCTCTTTCTCTTCTTCTTTTTCTTCCTTCCTGATAATTAATTTCTCCTGGGGGGGATGCTAAAAAGGGAGATAAAATCCAGAAATCCAGCACAAGCTATAAGCAGTCTAATTTTAATGTTCATTTTAAAAAAACCCAGATTTCGAGAACTCGATTGCATGAAACTGCTCCAAAGCAAAGTGGAAGCAAATAGTTCTGCTCATGGGCACTTGGCCCTCAGTCTCTGTCCTTCGGCCCTTTGCTGTCCTGTTTCTTCCCTATAGGTTCCCTCTACCCAGGCGAAATCCATCACTTGCCTAAATATATAAATGCCACCAAAATTAACCCCTTACTTGCAGCAGCATAAATAGATGCATTTTGCAGTGCTGAAACTTGGGTGTGTTTTTTTAAAAAAAATTTGCGTTCCCTCCTTCCATGCTCTGCTTTAACATTCTCTCTTCAGGTCTCCCTGAAACAATGTCCGATATGCAGTGAAGCCTTCCTTCCCGGCTTTGAAGAGCAGTATTCGGTCCATGTGCAAAGCCACATTCTCGACTGCCCATATTGTGAGGAGACCTTTGACGCCTCCAACCAGCAAGTGTATGATGACCACGTCTACTGCCATGGCTTAGACTAAGCAGCAGCCCACTGACAGAATAATTTGCGAGGGACAGCGGCCTTGTTCTGTTTCTTTGTAGGATTGGACAGAACAATTTCTGTAGGGTGTGCTGCTGTCTAAACGTGCCATGCCAGGGGCGTGGGGGCCTGAAACCTGCTTATTGGCACTGCGACGTCGATTCCTTCCTTCCATCTTGCAGCATTTTAATTAAACGAGCACAGTGCTTTTGCTGTGTGAAAGGATAGGGTTGTCTTCAGTACATCCTTCTACGGCACGAATAGCACTATAGGTTATTTTCAAAGGGAGGAGCTGTTTTTCTTCCCCTGTGCCTTTCACTACGGATGCTGATCTGGCTTCCTCACTGTTTCTGAATGGCAGAAATCCCTCTAGCATAAGAGAGCCCTTGTAATTTAGTTCTTGTCCAGCTGGGGAAACTGTAGAAATTCTTCCCTTGCTTGCTTCCTCACCCCTTAGCGTAACCTGGGTACAATCATGAACCGGTGCGGCCTTCCCAACTTCCATCTTCATGCAGGTTGTATGAGAGAGGCAGTGGTTGTAAGGGTGGACTTCCTGGTGTTCTGTAGTGGCTGGCTACAGTGCCAAGGTAGGGTTGGGGAGGCCCAGGTTCAGATCCTTGCTTTGTCATGAAAACTCTCTGGGTGATCTTGGGTGAGTCACTCGCTCTCAGCCTAGCCTACCTTGCAGGGTTATTGTTGTGAGGATAAAACAGAGGGATAGAGAATGATGTTACAAGCCAGCTTGGGTCCCTGTGGGGTGGAAGATAGCAGCGAGGTTGGCATTAGCTGAGTGAAGGGGGGGGGCATAGATTTAGTCTCAGTCACAGTCCTAATTTAAGGTTATATGCCTGGAGTCACCCATGATTTCACAGGTGCCTGATGATTAACTCAAAACTAACTAGGTATGTCTTGTATCACCAAAAAGACACTTAGTAAGTGCTACAGTCCTTGTCGGTAAATAGTTTTCTGGAAGGGCTGTTTTGAGAAAGGCATAAAGGGTGCTCATGGGGTCCAGCACTTCATTTCCCATGTGGCCTATTGGCCAGTTCAGTTTCCACAGGCTGCCTTTTCTCCGTCCAGCTTTTGTGTCTGTCGGAGGAACTTGGGCAAGCTGACAGATTTGCCCCTAACAGTGACAAAGCTGCTAAGGATTATCCTACAGGCACCCTTCATCAGAAAGTTCTCCTACCTCTCACCTGGCTGCGCAGCATCTGAGCCGTCAGACACAGTTACAAATCCTGCCGGTTTGTATGTTGGCCGTAGTTTTCCAGGCAGAATTCTGTCTTGGGAAGTGAGGCAGTCAAGATCCCTTTCTTAGAAATGGCCATTTTACTGTTCCTCTTGCCACTAAATGCTGATAGTTGACTCAGGAATCAAAGCAATGACGTAACTGAACTAATCTTTCAACAGAAACCTTTCTGCCTGCATAACCGCTTTGGACTTTCAAGGCTTGGTCCAAATGTTTGACTCACTTTTTTTTAAAAAAAATGCACATTCAGGGCATGTATACTTATGGAACTGAACAAGTGCCTCGAACTCTTGCACGGCTTCTGATGAAAATGTATATGTTCTAAGGAATATTCTGATGCTGACAACCCATTCTCTATGCAAGACCAAAAGCTGTAACACGGTTAACTTACCTGTAGGTGTTATATTTGTGCATTGCCGTCCCAATGAATGCCTCTAGGGGAATCCTTTGATTATTAATGAGATCCTGTTTTCAAGTATATTCGGTGTCGCTTTTTCGAAGAAGGGCCTGTAAAATGTGTTCTTCAAGGCCTAAGGTTTGGGTCAGTTGGCCTCAACAGTTAAATAAATGGACTTCAGTTGTCTTTATTTTAAGCAGTGTCAGAGGGTTTTTGTTGTTGTTGTTGCATGCTCTTTCTCTTTTGTTGGAATGTTTTATTTATCGTATTGAGTGTCGCATTTATTGTATTGAAAGCTTTAATCCCGCCCCCCCTCTAAATAACATCAAGGCTGGTCAAATGAAGGAATCCTGAAGTAAGATCAACCTGCAATCATAGACTACACTGGGGTCCCCCCAACAATGATGCCCACTGACCCCTTTCCAGGTACCTGCCAAGTGTTTATAGAGCATGGGCAGGGCCAGGTGAGGCTTTTGCCCAGCAGGACTTCTGATTGGCTGTGCAGATTTAAAAAAAATTGTCTCGGCGACAGCTGCCACCACAGCACAAAGTTCTTCACTGCATGGCTAAAGGTAAGCTGTGTATGCAAGGAAATACTTAAAATGACATGCTCATTTAAGAAGAAGAAGAAGAGATTGGATTTATACCCTGCCCTTCACTACCCAAAGGAGTCTCAGAGTGGCTTACGAACTCCTTTCCCTTCCCCTCCCCACAACAGACACCCTGTGAGGTAGGTGGGGCTGAGAGAGCTCTGACAGAAACTGCTTTTTTTCAAGGACAGCTCTTGTCAGAACTATGGCTTGCCCAAGGTCATCCAGCAGGTGCAAGTGGAGCAGTGGGGAATCAAACCTGGTTCTCCCAGATTAGAGTCCGCACACTTAACCACTATGCCAGTGAGGCCTCCTGTTAAACAGAACTTCTGCCTGAAACGTTGAAAAGCTCTTTTCAGAAGAATGCATGACCTCACCCCCTGACATTCTGTGCTTAGCTCTGCCTCTTCTGCCCCTGTGTCAGCATTCCAAATGTGCCTGCAGGCTCAAAAAGCGCGGAGACCTCCACTGTATAATCCAGTAGAGTCAGTCCAGTCTGAGGTTGTTTCCACATGGAACTTTTGTTTGATGTCCCCACCCGTATTGCAGGAATTTTAAACTGGGCTTCCGTATAGCAATGTTGGGGCTGCGGTGGCTCAGAGGTACGCTGAACTGCAGGCTGGAAGGTCGGTAGTTTAGCAGTTCGAGACCCGAGTGCCGTGTGACGGAGTGAGCGCCCATCTCTGGCCCCAGCTCCTGCCAACCTAGCAGTTCGAAAGCAAGAAATTGCAAGTAGACAGATAGGTGTACTGCTTCGGTGGGAAGGTAACAGCGTCCCGTGCGCCTTGGTGTTTAGTCACACCGGCCACATGACCACAGAGAAGTATTTGGACAGCGCTGGCTCTTCGGCTTTGAAACAGAGATGAGCACCACCCCTTAGAGTCGAATTTGACTCGCTTTCGAGCAAGGGAAACCTTTACCTTCATTATAGTAATGTTTGTGTGGTCATCTACCTTCCAGGTTTCTCTCTGGGGTCCATTGCAGTTTCCCAAACCTGCCTTGAGATGTTCCATCACCCCCCACCCACCCACCCCAGTTGGTGGACTTTGGGGCATTTTAAAAAGTGATTGTAGATAACACTATAGCAATATTCTGATTTTAAAAGGGGGGGAGCCAGCTGGAGGAGGCAATGGCTTGAGGAAGGAACAAGCAAATCAACCCAGGAGCTATGGAAGCAAAACAGAGAATTGCCCCCCATGTGTGAAATAAGTGGGCGTAGACTGGGTACCATTCTGCATTGGACTGAGGTGGTGGTTGTCAGCCATTCAGTCATGTTTTACTCTTGTCGATTCTGTGGGCCAGGTCTCTTCCTGTTTTCCGATCTTGTACTGTTTCTTTGACTTGTTGCCTCTGTACAGCACAGAATCTTGCTTTCACCTTTGGCTGTATCAGCAGCTGGGCTTCCTGCTGGATTTGTCCCAGACGCATCATTAATCAGAGGTCATTTCATAGAAAAAGATAGCATAACTTATTTGCATATGCCACACCCCCTGACATCACCTTTTATTAGCTCACCTCTAGGGGGTGTGGTGTGAGAATACCTTGGTCTTGCTGGCTGAAAGCTTGCAGGAAGTTTTGACGGCTTGTTGCCTGATGCAGGAGATTTTGACGTAGATACAAGGAAATAGTTGCCAGAAGCACGATGCTTGTTTCATCAGCTGAGCTCCCACAGTATTGTCTGCTCTGACTGGTAGTGAATCACCAGAGTATCAGAAAGAGAAGGGACTCCCACTGCCAGAACCCTTTCGCCCTATAAGTGCGCCCTATAATCATTCGGCTCCCACCCAGATTTCGGGCTGCAAAAAAAGGTCACGCCCTTAGCAGCATTCAGTCTAATGAACTCTTGCACGACTTATAAAACCCATCTCTAAAAAGCACTGCTGTCCCCAGACCATACACACGATTGGCTTACTGAGCTGTGGTCTCGATGTTATTCACCATATGAAGATATGTGTTTGCTCTGAGATCACTGGGAACTGCTACTTCCTATCTCGGCGAAGGGGTTTTTATGGTCTTGCCGCAATACAGGGTGGGGGGAAAGAACCTCCGTATTCTTTAATGGCTGTGCGCCTTTCCTGGACGGGCAGCTCACCTACAGAAAAGGGGTCTGGAACAAAGGCTTGGGAGGTTATGTGTGAAAAACAGAAGTTTTAAGTTGGGAGAAAGGGAGACACGGACTTTGGGAGGAATGCCAATGAACTTGAAAGGTGAAGCAAATTGGGGTGCAAAGCCTGCGGACCCGGTGGGAGTATCCTGTTTGCTGCATTGTAGGACTGCCTATTTGCCTCAACTATTGCGCTGCCTATGTATTTGTAAACAGTACACATAATTTGTAAATCGTACAATCATTTGTAAATTAGATCTATGTGTAAATAATAATGGACATCAATGGGTTCAATCCAACAAGATTCCCCCCCCCCCCAGTCTCACCCAGTTCTGCTCCTTAGTACACTCCCTGCCCCATATGGCTTTTGTCCATGCAGGCCCTGTGACCCTCAGCAGAAACCTTTTGGTTGTCCAACGGGATCCCTCCTCCCTTTTACACTAAGGGAAAGCTGCCTGGACCCAGCCCCATATGTATTTAGAGTTCTCTGCTTTGAATTAAAGAAACTGGTCCTGGTGCTTCTCGTTTTGACAGAAAGCAGGGAGGACCTAACAATAATGAGAGGTACCATGGTATATTAATTAAGAAATAGCTTCTTTTATTCGTAAGGCCTTCCAGCTATCTGGATGGCACTATCAGTGACAGAGAACGAAATAGATTACTATAATCAAGAGTCAAAGAACAAAATAGATTACTATAGTCAAGAGTCCAAGGTTGATTCTTCTGGGTGGGATCCTTAAAGTTTTGGAGTCCTCAGCTTGGTATTGTATCCCTGCAATGGGTGAAGAAAGAAACTCCAGAGAACAGACAGTACTGCGTAGCTGTGTCCAAAAAGCACCTGAGACGATAGTATACATTTTCTCATATGTCCCACAGTGGCAAGCAACCGCTTACGCGCCAGATGAGGTCAACTTGCCTTTACGCAGATTAAACAGCCAGAGAATTGCAGCCAGATCAGGTGGTCACTGACGGGCAGGAATTCGGAAGTCTGCCATGCAAGATGGAAGTCCAGCTAGTAGACCTTTTAGCCGATTACGTCCCCCGGGCATCGCGATACTGCTTGACCATTTCGGACAACTTCGTCATGGCCTCCGGGATCCCTTCCCCGCTCATAGCACAGCAGCCCTGTGCGTGCCACGGATTCCCTCGCAGCTTCCTCAGGCCCATCTCTTCGGCCATCTGCTGGGGGGGGCAGGCTCCAGGCAAGTCTTGCTTGTTGGCAAGCAGCACCAAGGGCACTCCCTGCAGCAGGCTGGCATCCAGCAGGGCCTCCAGTTCCAACCGGGCCTCCTCAAACCGACGGCTGTCCACACTGTCCACCACGAACACCAGCCCATCTGTGTTGGCATGGTAGTGTCTCCAAAGTACCCGGATCCGGTCTTGACCACCTACGTCCCACATGGTGAAAGTGACATTGTTGATGGGCTGGATCGTCTCCACGTTGAAGCCCACGGTGGGGATAGTCATTGTAGTTTCGTTCAGCTTCAGCCGATAGAGGAGAGTCGTTTTGCCCGCGGCATCTAAGCCCAGGAGGAGGATACGAGCCTCCATCCCATAGAAACCCTGCAAGGCTTGCTGGATCCGGCTGAATAGAAGGCCCATGATGGCAGGCTCTCTGTTCCTGTGCTGTGCTCTCCAGCAGACGAGAGAACTGCTCCCAGTCTTATAGGTACCAGGCTGCCCTTTTATTAGCTCACCTCTAGGGGGTGTGGTGTGAGAATTTCCTGGTCTTGCTGGCAGAAAGCTTGCTGGAAGTGTTGACATCTTGCTGCCTGATGCAGGAGGTTTTGACGTAGATATAAGGAAATACTTGCCAGAAGCACGGTGTGTGTTTCATCAGCTGAGCTCCCTCAGTATTGTCTGCTCTGATGGGTAGTGAATCACTAGAGTATCAGGAAGAGAAGGGAGTCTCCCCGCCAGGACCCTTTCAGATGGAGGCAGCAGGGATTGGATTTGGTATCCTCTGCATGCATATAATCCTGTGCTACATTACTAAACCCCTAACAGACAAGCTTAATACCAAGCAGAAGGGCCTGATGCCCCTGAAAAACAGAGCTGCTCAACGTTTCTCTCAAGGCAGCCCATCCCAGGGCTTAACTCCTTTTGCCTCCACCCACCGCCTGCTTAACCCAAGCTCTTCCCACCAAAGCCTCACCTATCAACCAGGACAAAAGCAGCCCTTTCCTGCAGAGGAACTGAGCCCTGCCACGTAGAAATGCCAAAGTGTCCCAGCTCCAGACACAAAGGGTCTGCAGCAAGGGAATAAGCAGGTGAGTTTAGCAAATGTGCAAGTTCAGCAGCAGGGAGGAAGCTAGGGCACTTATCTTTCCACACCCCTAAAAGGGCAAGCATACTTTTCATAAACACAGCTACATAAATAGGAAATTTATAAAAGTGAGAGGGGGGAAAGAAATTATGAAGGTAGAATGCCAGCAAGGGGTTGGGGGGCTATCCAGTGTATTGCACTGAGTGCAACATGTATGACTATCTACCAACTGGAGAGAAGTCATAGGTGTGTGCTTGGTGCAAGGGAGCTCCTGGTTCTCTGGGAATGAGTTTGCCCCCTTGAGGCCAAGGTGGCTGACCTGGAGTAACAGAGACAGTCCATTAGGCACACAGGTAGGAGTCTCGGGAACTTGTTAGATGTGTCCTACAACTGATGGACAAATTAAAAACTAACAAATCACCAGGCCCAGATGGCATACATCCAAGAGTTCTGAAAGAACTCAAATGTGAACTTGTGGATCTCCTGACAGAAACATGCACTCTGGCATTGAAATCTGCCTCCATTCCTGAGAACTGGAATATCGCTCATGTAACAGGTTCCAGAGGAGATTGGGAAATTACAGGCAGGTCATGGAGAACTGGAATATAGCTTCCAGAGGAGATTTGGGAAATTACAGGCTGGTCGGTCAAACATTAATACTGGGTAAGTTGGTAGAATCTGTTATTAAAAATAGAATTAGTAGGCACATTGATGAACAAACGCTATTGAGGAAGCATTGGTGATGAACAAACGCTATTGAGGAAGCATTGGTGATGAACAAACGCTATTGAGGAAGCATTGGCATGGATTCGGTAAGAGAAGGTCTTGTCTCACTAACCTTTTAGAGTTCTTTAAGGGGGTGGACAAACATGTGGACAAGGGTGACCCAGTAGATATTTTACTCAGACTTCCATAAACCTTTTCATAAAGTTCCTCATCAAAGGCTCCCAAGTAACCTCAGCAGTTATGGGATAAGAGGACAAGTCCGCTTGTGGGTTAAAAACTGGTTAATTAACAGGAAACAAAGTGGAAAATTAGGTTCAACGTGGGTAAGTACAAAGTAATACACACTGGAGCCAAAAATCCTAACTATAAATATACATTGATGGGGTTTGAACTGCTGGTAACTGATCAGGAATCATGGTTGAAAACTCAGTGAAGATGTCAACTTAGTGTGCGACGGCAAAAAAGAAGAAGCAGCAGCAGCAGCAAATGCTGGGGATTATTAGGAAGGGGATTAAAAACAAATCAGCCTGTATCATAATGTCCCTGTACATATCTATAGTGCAACCTCATTTGGAATACTGTGTGCAGTTCTGGTCACCACACCTCAAAAAAGATATTGTATAGCATTGGAAAACAAGTAGAAAAGGGTAACTGAAATGATTAAGGGAATGAAACGCCTTCCCTATGAAGAAAGGTCAAAGAGGTTAGGGCTCTTTAGCTTTGGAGAAACGACAATTGAGGGGTGAAACGAGAGGTTTACAAAATTCTGAAATATTCTCACAATACAAGAACTCGTGGGCACTCGTGAGCAGCTGGCTTAGAACAGTAAAATGAAGTACGTCTTCACCAAAAGAGTAATGAACACGTGGAATTCACTGCTGCAAGATGTGGCGGCTAAAAGCATAGCTTCAAGAGGGCATTGGATATACATATGGAGCAGAGGTCCATCAGTGGCTATTAGCTACAACACAGAGATAGAACACTGAGTCTGGGGCAGTGATGCTTTGTATTCTTGGTACTGGGGGGCAATGGTGGAAGGGCTTCTGGAGTTCTGGCCCAGCTGGTGGACATCCTTATGGCCTACTTTTTTTTCTTTTCTTTTTTTGGCCACTGTGTGACACAGTGTTGGACTGGGTGGGCCATTGGCCTGATCCAACAGGGCTTCTCATATGTTCTTAGTTTAGCTAAATGAAGGCTATCTCTGAATATCACACACTGGAGGCAAGCAGCAAGAGAATGCTCTTGGCCTCTTTCTAAGGTTCCCAGAGATATCTGGCTGGCCACTTTTATTCACTGGTTTTAGATACAGATGCCCTGCTTTCCTCCTCAATGGTGAGCCGAAGTGGTTGATACTATTGTTCTTCCTTCCTCCATTTTATCCTCATAACAACCTTATGAGGTAGGATAGGGTAAGAGGATGGGACTAGGCCAATGTCACCCAGATAGCTTCCACTGTGGAGGGGGAGATTCAACCCTGGGTCTCCCAGATTCAGGTTGGACACACTAATTATTACACCATGATGGAACCGATGGAAACAATGGATATGGCCAAGGCCACAAATTAAGCGGCAATGGTGAGGTCTGAGATGTCAGTGAGCGCCCCCCCCCATCTATTTTTTTAATTGAAGTGCGCCCTATAATCATTCAGCTCCCACCCAGATTTCAGGCTGCAAAACAAGGTCATGCCCTTAGCAGCATTCAGCACAACGGAGTCTTGCACAGCTTATAAAACCCATCTCTAAAAAGCACTGCCGTCCCCAGACCATACACACGATAGGCTTACTGAGCTGGGGTCTAGATGTTAATGACCACATGAAGATAGGTGTTTACTCTGAGATCACTGCAAACTGCGAAGGGGTTTTTATGGCCTTGCCACAATACAGGGTGGGGTGAAAGAACCTCCGTATTCTTTAATGGCTGTGCACCTTTCCTGGATGGGCAGCTCACCTGCAGAGAAGGGGTCTGGAACAAAGGCCTGGAAGGTTGTGTGTGGAAAACAGAAGTTTTAAATTGGGAGACAGGGAGACACGGACTGAGGAGCAAATACAAATTAGCTGAAAGGTGAAGCATCTTGGGGCGCAAAGCCTGCAGACCTGGTGGAAGTATCCTGTTTGCTGCCTTGTAGGCGTGCCTATTTACCTCCACTATTGTGCTGCCTATGTATTTATAAATAATACATATAATTTGTAAATAATATCTGTTATGTATTGAGCCTAAGCCTTTCGTCCAGCTGTGCCTAGAATGGGCTGAACTTGCTTCTCCAGAACAATAGCTCACCTGGATCCAGGAACTAACCTATAGATAAGCAGTGTAATGTAAATAGCCTATCACTGGGAGTGTGTGTGTGTGGTGTTTTGCCGCATACAAGCAGGACTCCAGCCCTGCTAGGGTTGTCTTGTAGTTTGCTGAAATCATTGAATAAACTAGAGCTGATCAGTGCAATGTTTCTAGAACCCAGTATTTAATAATATCTATATGTAAATAATAATATGTAAATAATAATGAGCTGCGGTGGCTCAAGTGGTTAAGACGCTGAACTGCAGGCTGTGGAAGGTCGGTAGTTCAGCAGTTCAAGACCCGGGTGCCGCATGACGGAGTGAGCTCCCGTCTCTAGTTCCAGCTCCTGCCAACCTAGCAGCTCGAAAGCAAGAAATTGCAAGTAGATAAATAGGTACCACTTCGGTGGGAAGGTAACAGGGTTCCGTGCACCTTGGTGTTTAGTCATGCCGGCCACATGACCACGGAAACGTCTTCGGACAGCTTTGGCTTTGAAACGGAGATGAGCACCGCAACCCTAGAGTCGGATTCGACTGGCTTTCGAGCAAGGGAACCTTTACCTTTACCTATGTAAATAATAATGGATACCATGGGTTGGATCCAGCAAGATCCCCCCCCAAAGCCTCACCCAGTTTCACCCCTTAGTACACTCCCTGTCCCATATGGCTTTTGTCCATGCAGGCCCTGAGATCCCTCCTCCCTTTTACACTAGGGGAAAGCTGCCTGGACCTAATGCCATGTGTCTCTCTGCTCTGAATGGAAAAAACTGGTCCTGGGGCTTCTTGTTTTGACAAAAAGTGGGGAGTACATAACAATAATAAGAAGTACCATGGCATATTAAGCAATAGCTTTTTTTAATTCATAAGCCCTTCCAGCTATCTGGATGGAACTATCAGTGATAGAGAAAGAATTAATCAGATTTTTATAATGAAAGTAATAGATTACTGTAGTCAAGAGTCCAAAGTTTATTGTTCTGGGTCTGATCCTTAAAGTTTTGGAGTCCTCAGCTTGGTTTTATATCCCTGCAAGGGGTGAAAGAAGGAACTCTAGAGAATGGAGAGCACTGCGTAGCTGTGTCCAAAAAGCACCTGAGACGATCGTGTACATTTTCTCACATGTCCCACAGTGGCAAGCAACCACTTATGTGCCAGCTGAGGTCCCCTCGGCTGTATGCAGATTAAGCAGCCAGAGAACTGCAGCCAGATCAGGTGGTCACTGACAAGCAGGAATTCTGAAGTTTGCCATGCAAGATGAAAGTCCAGCTAGTAGACCTTTTAGCCGATTACGTCCCCCGGGCATCGCGATACTGCTTGACCATTTCGGACAACTTCGTCATGGCCTCCGGGATCCCTTCCCCGCTCATAGCACAGCAGCCCTGTGCGTGCCACGGATTCCCTCGCAGCTTCCTCAGGCCCATCTCTTCAGCCATCTGCTGGGGGGGGCAGGCTCCAGGCAAGTCTTGCTTGTTGGCGAGCAGCACCAAGGGCACCCCGTCCAGCAGGCTGGCGTAACACAGCAGGGTCTCCAGCTCATACCGGGCCTCCTCAAACCGACTGCTGTCCACACTGTCCACCACGAACACTATCCCATCTGTATCAGCATGGTAATGTCTCCAGAGTGGCCTGTACTTGGGTTGACCGTTCACATCCCACATGGCGAAAGTGATGTTGTCCATGGGCTGGAGAGTCTCCACGTTGAAGCCCACGGTGGGGAAAGTCACTGGAGTTTCGTTCCGCTTCAGCCGATAGAGGAGAGCTGTTTTGCCTGCTCCATCCAAGCCCAGGATGAGGATACGAGCCTCTATCCCATAGAAACCCTGCAAGGCATGCTGGATCCGGCTGAATAAAATGCCCATGGTGCAGGCTCTCTGTTCCTATGCTCTGCTGTCTGGCAGACGAGAGAACTGCTTCCAGTCTTATTATTGACACCAAGCTGTCCTTTTATTAGCTCACCTCTAGGGGGTGTGGAGTGAGAATTCCCCAGTCTTGCTGGCAGAAAGTTTGCTGGAAGTTTTGGCAGCTGGCTGCCTGACGCAGGAGGTTTTGACGTAGATCGAAGGAAGTATTCAGCTGACGAGTTGCTGGGCCGTAGGGGCATTTCGGGGCTCCCTCCCTTTCTTAAAGCTACGGCCCCACAAGTTTTGCTCGAGGAAAGGTTGTTTTAAAACGTTTCCAAACCTTTTTTTAAAGACACTCCGAACCACGTCGGGAGCAGACCCCAGGCAGGCAGGCAGGAAGGGCCGTGACAGCAGCACATGACCTCTCCAGTCCGCCCTCCGCCCGCCCGGCTGCTCCTTTCCCACACTGCCTAGCAGTTGGGCTTGGCGGCAGCTGTAATGGTCTTTTAAAAAAAGAACTTTAAAAAACTTTTTTGAAAGATGCGCTTGCTCGAGCTGTGCAGCAGACAACAAGCGTTTGGGAAGAAGGGGGCTTCTCCCCCCCTTCCTTCTTGT